TTGCTCCTTCCTGGACTACTATCTCAGCTATACTCTCTCCCTAGGTGGATTTCATCCAGTGACACCTTAAGAAAAAGAAAAAAGGACCTCAACCCTGACTTCTCTCCTAAGTACAAGTCATATATCCAATTGTTTGCTTCAATGCTATGTTCACATCTAAAACTCCACTTTTAACACTTGCTCCCTCCACTCCAGCATTCCTTATCTCATTAAGATATACCACCAGCATCTGCACGATTGCTGAAATCCAGAACACAGAAGCACTCCTCATTCCCTTTCTTCCATCACATTGGATATATTACCAAGCCCTGATGAATACATTTCCAAAATGTATTCCAAATCGGTCCACTGCCTGCATTATCACCCTTGTGTAGGCTAACCATCTCCTCTTTCTTGGACTACTAGAACAGTCTGCTGATCTTTCTGCTTAAAGACTCTTGTTCTGCTAAAATCCATCCTTCCTTTTTCTATTAGCATAAATTAGTTGTACAAAGGAGTTTTATTGTGATACTTCTACACATGAATGCAATCTATTTCAACTGCTAAATTCTTCACCTCTATCATTTTTCCTCCTAATCCCTCCTCCCTTCTTCTTAAAATAATTTCAACAGGTCTCATAGTTCTACTTTCATACATGGGTAAAAAGTACTTTAACCATATTCACCAACCTCTTTTACCTTCTTTTGCCCACACACCTGCTGCTGGTATCTACCCCCAAATAGGATCTGTTTTTCATTCCTGTTATTCATTTTTAAAGACTAGATTCTGTATATGAGAGAGAACATGTGATATTCGTCTTTCTCAGTCTGGTTTATTTCGTTTAACATGATCATCTCTAGTTCCATCCATCATTACGTTACCCTGTAAATAATATAAATTCATTCTTCTTTATGGCTGAGTAATACTTCATCGTGCATACCCACCATATTTTCTTTATCCATTCATTGGCTGATGGGCACCTAGGCTGACTTCATATTATAGCTATTGTGAAAAGTGCTGCTATAAACATAGGTGTGCAGGTGTCTCGACTGTATGTTGAGATATATGCCCAGGAGAAATAAGCCCACCTGATATTTGCAATATCAGATGACTTTAGTGTGTGTGCTTTCTTCTGGATACTCTATTCTATTCCATTGATCTACATGTCAGTTTTTGTGCCAATATCATACTATTTTTGTTACCATGGCTCTGTAGCATAATTTGAAGTGAGGTATTGTGATACATCCAGCTCAAGATTAAAATCCATTACTCCTGATCACCTCTCCAGTCCTGTCATGAAATCTTTCTCCTTGCTGGTTCACTGCACCAGCTAAGTCCAGTGACTTTTCTGCTCCGTAAGCATACCATTCTTATTCCATTCTGTTAAGTTTCTCTCTGAAAGGCCTTCCATGATTATCTCTCTGAGGATAGCTTCTTTGTCCCATAAACTTAATTTTCTATCACTTATTATCTAAAATCACCTCATTAAGTTCCTTTGTGCTCACTGTTATATCCCAAGCAACTAAAAAATATTGGTAGGCCCTCAATAAATATTTGCTTAAAGAATCTTAATAGAAAAAACTAGCTGAGCCTTCAACAAAGTAAAAAGCTGGTCAGGATTTAGGAAACAAAAAACTTATATACCAGTATCTGGTGAAAATTTTTTATCCAGAGTGTAATATATGAGAAAGTGCATAAATATACTCTGCTATCAAGATGAAAGTCTTAATAAAGGTATAAGAACATTCAATGAGAAAAGAATAGTCTTTTAATAAGTGATCCTGGAACAACTGGCAGCCATTGCAATAAAATGAAATTGAACTTGTACATCATATCATATACAAAAATTAACTCAAAACAATTTCAGACCTAAATATAAGATCTAAAATCATAAAAATTTTAGAAGAAAATATAGCCATAAATCTTTAAGACATAGGGTTAGGCAGTATTTTCTTTTTTTCTGCAGCAGTGTGGTGTGAACTCAGGGCCTCATGCTTGCTAGAGAGACATTCTACCACTTGAGCCACTCTACCAGCTTTTTTGTGATGGGTTTTTTCAAGTTAGGGTCTCCTGAACCATTTGCCCAGGGTGGCTTTGAACCATGATCCTTCTGATCTCTGCTGCCTGAATAGCTAGGATTGTAGGTGAGAGCCACCAGCGCTTGACAATGTCTTCTTACATATGACACAAAACGTAAAAGAAAAAAAGATAAACGGAACCTCTTAAAAATTAGAAGCTTTCTATTTCAAAGGACATCATCAAGAAAAGAAGCCAGAAAACCAGCTAAAACATTTACAGAGCATCAATCTGGCAAGACAGCTATATCCAGTATGAAGAACTATTAAAAGTGAACAATAAAAGGATAAAAAATTAAAAATGGGCAAAGGATTTCGACAAGCAAAGATATATAAATGGCACATCAAAAATGCTCAGGGCTGGCAGAGTGGCTCAAGTGGTAGAGTGCCTACCTAGTAAGCGTGAAGCCCTGAATTCAAATCCAGTACCACCGAACAACAACAAAGCTCAATATCATCAGTCATTAGGGAAATGCAAATCCAAATCACAGTAAGAAGTCCATTTCTTACTTAGTAGGACAGGTATAATAAAAAAAGAGAATACAGCTGGGTGCCAGTGGCTCACACCTGCAATCCTAGTCACTGAGGAGGCAGAGATCAGGATTGCAGTTCGAAGCCAGCCTGGGCTGGTGGAGTGGCCCAAGGTGTAGGCCGAGTTCAAACCCCAGTATGGGCAAAAAAAAAAGAATACAAAGAATTCAAAGTGTTTGAGAGGATAGGATGAGGAAGAACTAAAACACTCAGGCCTTGCTTATGGGGTTATGAAATGGTATACCCACTTTGGAAAATAATTTGGCATTTCCTCAAAATGTTAAACAGAATCATATGACCCAAAAATTCCTCTCCAGACACAAACCCCAGAGAAATAAAAACATATGCCCACACCAAGACTTATGGACACATGTTCATAACAGCATCATTCTTAATAACTAAAAAGTGCAAACAACTCACGTTTATCATAAACATAAATGACAGGATTAACATTGTAGCATGCACACAATGGAATCTTATTTGGCAACAAAAAGTAGTGGTGATACATATTACAAATGGAGGAATCTAGAAAACATTATTTTGAGTAAAAGAAGCCAGTTACAAATTGCCATATATGGGAAAATCCATAAAAGGTACAACAGTGTTGCCAGAGTTCCTGATGTGCCTGTGTACCTGTAGGAACTGGGTATGACTGTTAACAGATACTGTGTTTCATTCTGGAGTCATGAAAAGCTCTGAAATCAAAGTGGGGATGGTTGCACAACTCCAAGTGTGGTTAAAAGGGTGAATATTATGGCATATGAATTATAGCTCAATAAAAAGTTACTTAAAATAGAATAGCAGCAAAATTAGTAATGTTAATCTTTCCAGATCTTAATTTCCAAATTTATAATCATTTTTTTCAATCAGCATTCATTCTACCTTTGGTAAATACTAGGGACACAAAGATGACAGACAGGACCTATCACTCTCAGGGAGCTTACAGATAGTAGAGGGCATTCTCCATAAAGACTAGCTAAATGAGCTCAAGAAGGGTATGACAGTGTGTGTGTGTGTGTGTGTGTGTGTGTGTGTGTGTGTGTGTGTGTGTGTGTGTGAGAGAGAGAGAGAGAGAGTGAGAGAGAGAGAGAGAGAGAGAGAGAGAGAGAGAGAGAAAGAGAGAGACAGACACAGAGACAGAAAGAGATAACTTTGAATTGCTAGTCAGACAATAAACTACTTTTTGCCACCAGTTTTATATGCTATCCACACTTAAGAAGATTTAGTAATTTTGGAGCTACAATCATTATACTAATCATTGCTATCAGGAACAAGTTTCCTGAACATCTGCAGCCTAAGACAGAGTATAGCTTGTTCTCTTTTTTCCCCTCATCTTTCTTCCCCTTGTCTATATTCAATATCTGTTGACTTGTGATAATGAGGTAAAAAATGTGATGGATCCTGACTGATACTGGACAGCATGATGATGGTATAAGCCCAATGTTTTCTGATATTTCATCTGCAAGATATCCCATGAGGAAAAAGGCAATAGCTTACTGCATTCTATGCGTCTACCCCATGCTAGTAGGTGCTTACTGAACTTTTTTTTTTAAAAAAGGTTTTCATCTGTATTGGATGAAGAAGTCATTGAACACACTAACACCATTCTAATTCCTTCCCTTCAGAATATCTCACCTTTTACTCTGTGACATATGATATTTGATAAATAAATGTCTGTTCAACTGAATTTTGAAAGCAGGTAGAAGAGGAGGAAAGGATCCCTCCTTAAATGATGTTCTCAACAACTGAGTTAAAGCTTATACATAAAATAGGCTTGTTTGGAAAAGAAGAGCAAGTGCTGTGTAAATCTCAGATATACTTTAGTTGCAATTTTAATAATCAAGAGCCTTTATATATATATATATATATATATATATATATAAAACCATTTTTAGATTGAATTTGGGGCCTTGGGCAAATCACTTAACTTTAATAAGTCTCAATCCTTTCTAAAACTAGAATAAAAATAATATCTAGTCTGTGAGGGTTGCTATGTAGTTAAATGGGAAAATAAGTGTGGAAGACTTTGGCAAATGATTATCACAACATATCATTAACGTGCAGCTTGCATGCATCTCAATGCTTACAAATTCACTCAGTTTAACTCCACGGAACTATACTGGTTCCTGTGTCTCTTCCATACTAAGTATCATGTAAAATTTAGCTCAGAGAATGAAATGACCCTACTGGGACTTTACTGAAAGGATAGCCCAATCATTTAGTATTTTTAAATCTTCAAAACTGTGAAGCCATTTGGTAAATATTAATCCTTATCCTTCCTGAATTCTCAGGTTCCAGAATTAAAATTCCTTGATAAATCTGAATTCCAATAAGGAAAGTACTTATCAGTTAACTGTTGTAATAGTTGTAAACTCTAGTTTTAAAGTTATCATCCTGGTAATAAAAACTACTTACTTTTGCAGCACAGGATCGTATCACCTCCTGAAAGAAATACAGTACAATAAAGAAGTATTCATAATTTTATTTAAATAAACTATCAACTGTTTTCAATGCATTCAGATGTCAATCTTCTAATAACCAAAATTAACATTTGAGAGTGTTTCTTTATCACCCTGCAGTTGACACTTGCATTATTTACAATAAGCTGGAAGGAATATAAATTAAAGAGATTTATGACATGTTCATGTTAAATCTGACCTGCCAATATCAAAGGTACTGACCATGACTCCAGAGGGCCCACTCTTATCTGCTTCAAGGAAGATTTGTCTCTTTAATAAACTTGGCATAAATACCAAAATTCTGCACTGTTCTGATCTCAAAGATATACTTTGAATTGACGTTAGTATGTAGTTATCTCCATAAATAACCTTCACCCTCACAATGTCCATACTAGTAATTTATATCAGATGGAGCCTTATAAACAACACTGAATGGGAGAGAATATGACAAATATTTAAAATAGCTGAAAAAGGAACTGCCTATAATTCATGGAACATGCCAAAACAAAAAAGATCATTTCTGGAGGGAAACCAGCATAAGTCAATGGATAATGGACAATTTGAAAATCTGCTACTAAATCAAATTAGGATTAACCAGCAAAAATCATCAACCTGGTATACTAGAGAAAAATGACAATAATCAATGTGGAGTTTAGGAAAAAGATTAGAACCAAGAAAGGAAAAAACTTCAGTTTTTTTTAATCCAGAAACTTCTAAGGGAAAGATACTATGGTTAAAGGATATTATTCCATTACTAAAAGGATACAATAAAACTGACTATAGATCCAGACCCAACTACCAGGACGGAATCTGAGCTCCAATGCTTACTACCTGTGTGACCTTGTAGGCCCCAAGTTCCTCTTCTGGAAAGTAGGGATAGAATTAGTACTCTGTACTGTCCTGGTATTGTTTGAAGATTAAATGTAACAAAGTGTAAAGCACTTAGTGCCAGAAACAGATTATGTCAAGTATTACTAATAATGAAACAGATGTTAGTTACTATTAATAAAAATAAGGCAAAATTGTCTGAGGGATAGAGAAAATTAAGCAACCCTTCTCACAATTGGCATAAAATATTTTCAAACTCAACCAATTCCTAGTTCTATGACTCTATTTAACAAGGGTCCCTGTGACAACTCGAGCTCAGCTAAATTTGAGAATGGAAGAGTGGCTGTGAGTGTTCCAGCAGCTAGAAAGATCTACCTATCATTATAAGATTTGGGTTTATAATCAACACTTTGTAGAACTGATTACTCTTAATAGGTACCCCAGATCCTAAAGAACTGTGGATGCAGTAATAAGATCAAAGTTTTGGTTCTAAAAACTCAAAATTCGTTGGATCCACCAGTGAGGTGTTACCTGGGTTGCAGAATGTCTTTTAGGTACTGCTTTGGCAGCAACATGCTAACTATGAAACAATTCAATGATTTACCTTATGATTAAATGGCAAGGGTCCAAGAACAGAGCATTATCGACTTCTCATGTCCTTTACTTAGTGATGGGTAAATACCTATTGAGATGAATTTATTATGCAACACACACATACACACAAAATCACATCTTAAACCTGAACGATCTTAGAAAACACTCCTATTTCAGTTAACAAAAACCCAATTATCTCTAGTAATACAGTCTTGTATAAATTAAGGAACAACCAACACAAAGAAGGGCTTTTTGAGTCTACTGAAATAGGCATTATGACAAAAGGTGGGAATCCCATCAACCTAAATATTTGCAAAATATGAAAAGAATGAAGCTGCTGCAGGAATAAAGAGGATATTTGTTTTATTTCCTTTCATATTACTATACATCCAGCCTGGAAAAAGGCATTGTAGACAGCATCTGATAGGAAATTCAGCAAATTCTCTCAGCACAAGAAAAATAACATAGCAAACAGACAAAGCTTTTATTTCCAAAGGCAGCCTCCACCTTGACCCCAAAGCAAATGTATTCTCTTGTTTTAAAAAGAAAAGATGTGGTAAAAAGTAAATAAAACTAAGAAGAAATAACATTTTTTTAAATAAATTTTCAATTTGTTTCCCCTCTGTATTTGATTTTATTTCTTTAAACTTTTTTCTGATTTTATTTTTCCTTTACATCTATTTTATTTTGTTCTCACATTCTTTCATTTACCTGAGGATGGCAGGAACATAAAATGGTATTAGAGAAAAGCTACAAGACATATGTGATTCCTGAATATTAAATTTTACAGTTTAAAATACTGACATAGTGTAGGAAATCTTCTAAATATATTGATCACTTGTTCTTATGTCCATAGATGAAAATTTTGTCACGCAAGATTTTAGACAAGGAATTCTTTATTCTTTCTACTAAAAACACATTTTTCTCTACATTTAAAAAACTCTATTTAAACTTCCTTTTAAAATCTGGAACACTATAATCTTATTATATTAAAAATACTAAAATATAAGAAATACAACACTGAAATAAATTTAATTTATAATCATATATTCTAAAATTTGGCTGAGAAAAAAATATTTTCTCTACATCCCAACTACACCTAAATCCAGAGATGAGTGTGCTCTGCATCCTGGTCTACCTTAACTAAAGAGGGAGATGGAGAGGGGAAGGCATAGCCAGAAGTACAGTATCTCAATGTCATTCCTTGCTTGATTGGTTTAAAACTGGTCAAAATTTCTACCAAGGGAGGAGGCAAAGGGCTAATATTTAGTAAGTGCTAAGGCCTGGTGCCTGCAGGTGAGAATTCAATAATGAACAGGCTGTAGGTCCCAGTATTCCAGAAGCACAAGGCTCATTCTAGTAAGAGGACTAGCAAAGTCAAAGAGTACAGAATTTAAAGACTTTTAGCTTAATATATCTTACCACTCATCTGTGAAAAAAATCTTCTAGTGATTTATACTAATAGCACACCACGTGACTTTTAACAAGCCATCTTTCTCTTCCTCCTTTACATTATTTCCCAGTTTAATGGGTAATACCTGATTTCTTTGGTACTTCTTTTTCCAGTACAGAGACAGACATAAAAATAATCTTATGAAACACTTGTATGTGCTCTTTGGAAGTCACAAATTTATTTTATTTCTTTTACCTATTTCGCTATTAGTGAAAAACAGTTTCACTATTAATCTTTATTGTTTATTTTTTATTTTTTGCAAGTTCAGGAGGTTCTTTCTTCCTTTAATGCATCTTATGTAAACATTTTCTCATGTTGGTGTTTGCCACTGCTTTTAAGATTAGCAAGTCATTCATCCATTTACACAGAGAAATATTTGTCAGACTATCCCCTAGGCCTTTTTTCTTCATCTCTTCTGTTATGTGGTATGGAGTTTGGAACCCAGGGCTGTAGGCATGCTAGGCAAGCACTGTACCAATGAGCTACATGCTCCATCTCTAGTCTTTAAAAAGACTTTTATCTGACTCCTTGACCAATGAGGATTTGATTCTGATAAAGTGACTATATTTTTCAGTTAACTCATATTTGGCAAGTTATCCCAACACCATACAAAGAGCAGTTCATGCTTTTCCCACTGATTTATCTGTCTTTATGAAGTTGTATCATACTATTTGTATTACTGAAACAATACAACATACTTCAACACTTGATAAGATAAGAAACAGCTTCATTATCACTTTGTTCTGTCACCTGGCTCTTCTGGAGAAATCCAAAGATACTTGAACTAGTTCCTATGTAGATAACCTGTTTTTCTATTACAGTATCTGTGAAATTTTTCCACACATTCTGCTCTCTTAAAAAAACACTGATCAATTACATGCACAACCTATCTCACACTCATCTTTCTTATTATCAACAATAGTAACTAACATTTATCAATGGTACTACGTATCACACTCTGTGAAGGGATTTACATCTAGGATCCCACTGGATTTTAAGAAAATCCAATAAGGTGAGAAATATTAGAATCCCTACTTTACAAATGAGAAAAATTAGGCTGACAACTCAGAGTCACAAAGCAGACAAAGGTTACAGCCCATACACCTATGCTTGTGCCTAAGCAGGCAGACCCTAGAGCTACACTTTCAACTATAATGTTCATCTCTCACACTCTTTTTTTGGAGGTACTAATGTTTGAACTCAAGTCTTGTGCTTGCTAGGCAAGTGTTCTGCCGCTTGAGCTATGCCTCCAGCCCTTTTAGCCCATCTCTCTCTCTCTAGATTTCTTTTTTAGATATGGTCCTGCAATTTTATATGGGGCCAGCCTGGACTACCTATGGCCTTTCAGGTAGCTGGGACCACCATACCAGGCTTACCGATTTAAGATTGGGTCTTCTAACTTTTTGCTCAGGCTGGTCTCAAACTGTAATCCTCCCGATCTTTGCCTCTGATTATAGGCGTGAGCCTCTTTTTCTGTTTTTTCATTTACTTATTTTTTGGCGACACCGGGGTTTGAACTCAGGGCCTCACACTTGCTAGGCAGGTGCTCTTACCACTTGAGCCACCCCACCAGCCCCTTCTGAATTCTTAATTGTGTTTCTGAAATTAGTTCCCCAGGCTGTATTACTAATCTGATATTTTTTAGGTGTTAACTTTCCCTTTACCATTTGCAATGTGGAATTAATTAAAACTTTAAATTCTTTTTACCTTAGCCAGATGTCTTTTTAAATTCAAAATACCAAATTCTTTTTACTTCTTCATTAACAGAAACCCTGATTTCTTATATTTTGTCAAGAATGTAATCTAAAATATTCCTTTTCTTACAGCCAATCATTTTAAGATACTCTTTGCCTTTGACTACTTTTCTTTTCTAATGCACATAATCTTTTTAATGGACTTCTTGCCTTAAATGTGATGTATCATTCTACTTCAACATCAATAATTCTGACAGTTCTGAGCTGAGGCTATCTAGTGGGTTGTATGCTGCTCTCAACCTATTTCTGATGGTCTTAGGTAGGCCTGTATGTGCTCTGTTGAATGAAAGTAGAGTCCTATGCTCCTCTGTCTAAGTTTCTGTTTTGGCAGTAATAGTAATTTAGTCCTGAGACACTAAACATGGTTAATTATTTTTCACTAAGTTTGGGTAATGTTTTCTCCTCCTTCTATCTTTAATAACTTCTTGGTTGTTCACTAATTTACATACAAAATTTCACCACAGTATTTAGCAAAATCAGAAGCTCTATAGTTATACACTGAAAAAAAGTTATTTACTACTGCTTTTTATAAAGTTAGAAGTATTTTAAAGAATAGTAAGAAGACAATGCTGGTACTACTTACACCTGTAGGATCTACAAAACAGAAATAATTTCCTTGTCTATAAAACAAGGGTAATAATCAATGTTACATGTATTTTCAAGTTGCTATATTAAAGGAAATAACGTATGAATTATGTAAGTGGAATGTATTAGGAAAAGACTGCCTTTCATTATAGTTGTTTGGATATTTGATACTACCTATCAGACTTGATGCAGACATGGCAATGCTAATTAGACAATAGGAACCCAAGGAAGAAGGTCAGGAGTTGGGAAAAATGTCAAAAGCAGGGAAGCTTTAAAAGAGAAAAGTAAAGGGGTGACAGAAAAGCATGGACAGGGACAAAACAAGAAACAGCTTTTGTGGAAAGGGAAGTTTAGGAATTCAGTTTTTCCTCAGGTCATCTACATATATTTGTTAATGAATGAAAATTAGCTATGTAGACCAGGGGATATAAAAAAGATGACAGTATCAGAACTGCCTTCAAGGAGCTTACAGTTTTAGATAAGGGCATGAAAGAGCTATTTGTTAAATTTTCCTAAGGGCTGGGGTCTTTGAACTAGACTACATGTTGAGAACACACACTCTGATCAGCAGCATCAGCATCACCTGGAAACTTACCAGAAATGAAAAACTCATAGGACTACCCCAGACCTACTAAATTACAAACTCTAGGGGTAGAGCCTGCCAGCTTATTCTGATGTACCCTGAAGTTTGAGATCTACTAAAAGAAACATGAAGTTTTAGAAAAAGACTTTCTGGGACTTTGAAAGCCTAGGCAGAACTTACTTCTTTGAGTGCTATTTGTCCTTCTAAGAAGCAGTCCCTTGTTTGGCCCTGAGAATTCATAGGTTGAGGGTCTAAACCTGCTAATTAACATCTCTCTCCTCAGGGATCTAAGTGTGCAGAGGTGAGATGGCCAGTTTCTCCTCCTGTACTAAGAGATGGAGTCATAACCTTGTGGCAAGTCTGAGCCCTCCCTTATCACTAGGTTCTGGGTGGGTCTTTACAGAGATAGCAAGTCAGGCCAGCATGATGGATTGTCCTAAATTTAATTGGTCCGGACACTTCAATTATGATTTCAGAGTAAGTACTTGAAAAGAACTACAAAAGCATAATAAAACCTAGTAATAAGAAATAAAGTTACTTAATATCTATTGGCATGGCAATGTAAAACACAACAGAAATGGTTTTAAAATTTTAACCATATAAAATCATTAAACATACTGTGACAGTTTCGAGTCTCTGTTTCACTAACTGCATCTTTGTTGAAGAATTTTCAGTGTGGACAAATTCATCAATCTGAAAAGAGCCTTGATGGGGTAGTTTAGGACAGGTGCATAATGCATCTTGACTTTGGTGTATTCCAGGTAATGGAAATGTTCCATTGTAGCGTTTGAACATTTCAGCTTCCTGCTGGGCTACTGAAAAAAAATGAATCCAGAATTAGGTCAAGTCACCAGGACAAGAGCATAATCAAATAACTGAGTCATGAAACTGCATAATTCATTCTAAATACTGGTAAATAAGAAGACGACATGGCTGGAAAAATGAGAATATATTAGATACTACAAAACCAAAAGGAAGGAAATGATTTCATAATTTCATGTTAGGTAGTATTGTAATTGAGCATTGAAGGCCATGCAAATTTACATGGGAGCCTAACATTAAATGTATGTATGTTGGAAATATTAAAAAACCAAAGGCCTAATATAAAAAAGATGCTAAAATAATGAAAGTAAGTTTCACAAACCCGTCTCCCTAAATCTGCTTTCATATTTCTATATCTCTAATTTTTATGTGTGTATATATTTTATGAAAATACTATAATATAAATATAATTTTATCATTTTCTCAACTTAAATGCAAACATTTTTCATATTTCCACAATTCTCTAATTATGATTTTAAAATGCATTATATATGTAAAGGACTATAATTTTTAAGATGCCATTTTTCTATTACTGCATATTTACAGTGTTTTGTATTCTCTTATTATGGATCTTGTTTGAGTAAGTACTTTCATAGTTGACTTTGTTTCTTAAAATAATTTCTATTTTGGGTATTATTCCCCAAAGTGAGACGACAGCTCAATGTTGACAACTACAGCCATGAGAACAGCATCTGCATTGCCCCTTGTGGCTTTAGGTGTATGTTTTCTCATTTGATCATTTAAAATAAATGAATCTGAAAAAAAGTTAAATGCATGTATGTATACACAAAGGAGAAAAGATCATCATTTTTAAAGTATTTCCTTAATTATGTAATCTTCAAATGGAGGGCCTCTCTAAACATAGCATGAAGGAAGAAATCTCAAAACAGGGATGTGAAACATGGAATCAGTAGGTGAGACTTCAGAGGTTCTGTGGACTCTTGAACTTGTAAGCAAAAACACTGGAATGTGTATTGAAATGTTTCTGAAAAACAGATTCATTACTTTAACCAGATTATTCATCAAAGGGTTACATGAGTCAGAAAAGGTTAAGAACCATCAACATTATTATGGACAAACAGGACAACTTTGCTTCATGAACATTTAAAGAGTATTAAAATACTATCACAGTAAAAATTAAAAAGCCAATGACAGGTAATGGGGTTCTTCTATATATGGCCAATAAGATTTGCTCTCCTGCTTGAAACTACAAAAAATGAACAAAAGCTGCAAAAAATAACTTTGTTTTTAAGATATGATTATCCATGCAATGTACATAGAGAACAAAAGTTAAGGAAGCACTCACTCTCAAGTCCTGAACCCTCATCTATGTAAAAAATCTGAATACAATCTAAAAATACAAGCCACTAGAACTAGTAACTGACTCTAGTTAGACTGCAGGATATGAGACCAATATACAAAAATTAATTGTACAAGTAATGCTACAGGCACAGTGGTAAAAAAAATCAACAGAACAGAGAATCCAGCATGTATAAAAAAGGAGTAAAGGCAATTCATGAAGAATGGACACTCTTCAACAAACGGTGTTGGAACAGCTGGATTTCATATGTGAAAAATGAACTTTGATCCTCACTACTTACCACATACAAAAAGTAACTCAAAACAAAGCATAGAACTAAATGTAAAATCTAAAGCTATAAAACTTTTACAAGAAAACACTTGTGAGATTGGATTAAGGAAAAATTTCTTGGTTACAACACTAAAATCCATGACAGAAAAAAGTGACAATCTGGATGTCATAATTTCAAACTGCTATGCTTCAAATTGTTTTTTTTTTCTTTTATTATTCATATGTGCATACAAGGCTTGGTTCATTTCTCCCCCCTGCCCCCACCCCCTCCCTTACCGCCCACTCCACCCCCTCCCTCTTCCCCCCACCCCCTCAATACCCAGCAGAAACTATTTTTCCCTTATTTCTAATTTTGATGTAGAGAGAGTATAAGCAATAATAGGAAGGAACAAGGGTTTTTGCTGGTTGAGATAAGGATAGCTATACAGGGAGTTGACTCACATTGATTTCCTGTGCGTGGGTGTTACCTTCTAGGTTAGTTCTTTTTGATCTAACCTTTTCTCTACAGAAAAGGTTAGATCAAATTGTTAAGATAATTAGAAGACAGGCAAAAGACTGGGGAAAAAATATCTGCAAATAGTATACCTGATAAAGTGCTTCTATATAAAATTCTTAAATCAGAACTCTCAGATCAAAATTCAGAAAAACAAGAAATAAGCACACTTTGAAAATGAGCAAAAGATTTGAATAGACACTTCACTGAAGAAGCTAGAAAGTTGGTAAATAAGCATATAAAAAGGTGTTCTGAATCATTAATCACTAGGGATAAGTAAATTAAAACCACAACGAAGTAACTGCCTATCTGTTAGAGTGGGTAAAATGAAAATGGCCATTTCAAATTTAGCAAGGATACAGAGACACTGGAACCTTCCTGCATTACAAGTAGGAATGAGAATGGCATGCCCAGGTTAGTAAATAATTTGGCAGTTTCTTTTTTTTATTGATTTTCTGAAGAAGGGTGTCATGATGTAGTCCAAGATGGTGTTCAGCTTGCCATTCTCCTGCTTCACCCAACCCCTGCAAGTGCTAGGATTACAGTGTGTATCAATCAACATGCTCACCTTGACTTCTTAAAAAATTAAACGTACATCTTCAATATGACCCTGCCCTTCTACTCTCACTAATTTAAATAAGGAAAACAAAATTCTATACCCAATAAAACTTAATACATAAATACTCAGAGCAGCTTTATTTGTAACCACTAAAAACTGGACATAAACACCCATCAACAACTGTGGTAAATTCATATACTAGAACAACATCAAGCAATAAAAAGTATGAACTATTGATAAATGCTAAGATATGAGTGGCTCTTAAAGTAATTACAAATGAAAGAAGCTAGACAAAAAAAGAATACACGCTATATACTGATCATTTATATACAATTCTGGAACATGGAAATTAGTTGATAATGGTTGCCTGGGGTTAGGGAGAAGTAGGGAGATATTAAAAAGGAGGAATGAAGTAACTTTGGGGGGACAATGGGCACACAGGTGATGGTCTCCTGAGTGTAAATGTCGACTTCCCAGAGCATACACTTTAAATTCATGCAGTTTACTGATGTTAAAGAGCTCAAGAAAGCTGTTTGTATACAAAAAAAAAGCAAGTAAAAGTGGTGATAAAAGTGGCAAATATTTTTAATATGCAAAGATTGTCCATAAAACCCATTATAAATGAATAATCCAACAGAAGAGTAGGCAAAGAACCATTACAGAATAGTCATGAGAGAACCATGAGGCCAATAAAAAAATTTAACCTAAGAATTAAAGAAGAAATTAGTAATGAAAAAAATGCAAATAAAAAATGATGCTTTTTTAAAAATCCGTTTGAACCACTGTAACTCAAGATAGTTTTTTTCCTAAGGAACAAATTGAATATAGTCAGGTATGAACTGAAGTACATACCATAGTTATTGCAAAATAACAGTTATTTAAATAAATTATGCTATATATACCTAATGAAAGGAAATTAAAATACATGCAGAATAATTATCACAATGCTCATAATACATTACTAATTAGAATAAAAATAGTTAAAAACATGAGCACAAGCATTTCTATACACTAATAATGAGCAAACGGAAAAAGAATGTATGAAAACAATTCCATTTACAATAGCCTTAAAAAAAATCAAATACCTAGGTGTAAACCTAACAAAAGATGTGAAAGACCTCTACAAGGAAAACTATACACTTCTGAAGAAAGAGATTGAGGAAGACTATAGAAAGTGGAGAGATCTCCCATGCTCATGGATTGGTAGAATCAACCTAGTAAAAATGTCGATACTCCCCAAAGTAATCTACATGTTTAATGCAATTCCCATCAAAATTCCAATGACATTCATTAAAGAGATTGAAAAATCTACTGTTAAATTTATATGGAAACACAAGAGGCCACGAATAGCCAAGGCAATACTCAGTCAAAAGAACAATGCAGGAGGTATCACAATACCTGACTTCAAACTATATTACAAAGCAATAACAATAAAAACAGCATGGTACTGGCACAAAAACAGACATGAAGACCAGTGGAACAGAATAGAGGACCCAGATATGAAGCCACACAACTATAGCAACTTGTCTTTGACAAAGGAGCTAAAAATATACATGGAGAAATAGCAGCCTCTTCAACAAAAACTGCTGGGAAAACTGGTTAGCAGTCTGCAAAAAACTGAAACTAGATCCATGTATATCACCCTATACCAAGATTAACTCAAAATGGATCAAGGATCTTAATATCAGACCCAAACTCTTAAGTTGATACAAGAAAGAGTAGGAAATACTCTGGAGTTAGTAGGTATAGGTAAGAACTTTCTCAATGAAACCCCAGCAGCACAGCAACTAAGAGATAGCATAGATAAATGGGACCTCATAAAACTAAAAAGCTTCTGTTCATCAAAAGAAATGGTCTCTAAACTGAAGAGAACACCCACAGAGTGGGAGAAAATATTTGCCAACTATACATCAGACAAAGGACTGATAACCAGAATATACAGGGAACTTAAAAAACTAAATTCTCCCAAAACTAATGAACCAATAAAGAAATGGGCAGTGAACTAAACAGAACTTTCTCAAAAGAAGAAATTCAAATGGCCAGAAAACACATGAAAAAATGCTCACCATCTCTAGCAATAAAGGAAATGCAAATTAAAACCACACTAAGATTCCACCTCACCCCTGTTAGAATAGCCATCATCAGCAACACCACCAACAACAGGTGTTGGCGAGGATGCGGGGAAAAAGGAACCCTCTTACACTGTTGGTGGGAATGTAGACTAGTACAACCACTCTGGAAAAAAATTTGGAGGCTACTTAAAAAGCTGGACATCGATCTACCATTTGATCCAGCAATACCACTCTTGGGGATATACCCAAAAGACTGTTACTCCAGAGGCACCTGCACA